TAACAAGTTTTTTAACAATTTGAAACACTACTGTATCTCGAAGAAGTCTTAAAATTGCATCAAATAAAATTTAGAGAACATTTATTTTAACACCCCTTACATCTTGCTTCGCCTTTATCAACCGCAAAAGGTTCATATTGTCCATAAACTCCTACTCCTGACTAAGGATTACAAAATCAAAGCATTGTTATGAACTTGTCCCTTGATTTACAAGCAGTACAACTATATCTAAAAAATGCTGACTTTTGTTTGAATATATCTAAACAAACGCTGTCATATTTACTAGAGTCGTAAAAGTTTTTTAGGAATTCCAATTTCAAGCCAGAGAGATTTTTTGTCATTGGAATATTCTTGAAAGGACGAAACAAACAGACGCTTCTATAAGCAGAAGAAGAAAAAAGAGCACCGAGTTTACTTCATAACAAACAGTGTTCCAGTTTTCATAAATCCAATTCCTTGCCGCCGCTGTATTGTCTTCATCTCTTTTGCAGTAAGAACCAGTCAAATAAAGTGATATCTTTTGGAAGACATTTCTGTTGGTTGCTTTTTATTTGCTACCCAGTATTTTCTGTGATTACTGGTGAAAAGTGATAAGTTTTTTGACAAATTTTTTTATGTTAGTTTGAAGGCAGTAGAATTCTTAACAAAAAACTTAAGGGGGTAATTGTAATGAAGCGAGTCAAAAAAATTGCCACAGGTTTCCTGCAGCATCGAAAAATTAATTGCACCACACGTGTGATCAGCCCCACAATTTACAATTTCTCATCTGATAAAAAATCTCGTCTCAAAACTGCGTTCTCTTAGATGTTTTATCTTTACCACGTCAAAATGGTGTAAAAAAAACTTCGCTACTGCAGTATATATACCTATACCATGCAAATAAACAAGTAAAAAAATCAGAAAAGAAAAAAGAAAAAGACCTTTCAATAAAACTTCTCATATTTCTGATAAGAAGTTTTGCTTGACAATAGCAATAGTGACACTGCTATCATCTATCAGACACAAAACTATTAAAAAAAACGACAAAAAATAACAAGAATTAGGAAATGAAATGAAAACAAAAGTGACATAAAGCGAAGTGTAAAAGATAAAACAAAGTGAATTAAATAGAAATGAGTAAAAGTGATATCAAAGTAAAAAATAAGTGTTGAAAGGAAATAGATGAAAAAATTAAAATAAACGAGAACTCAAAAACTACAAAGGTTTGAAAATTTAGTTTTTGCTACTGAACTCGTTTATTATCATCCACTTTATGCGTAGGCAACTAATTATAATGCAATACGTTAGTGAGGAAAGCATTTAAAAAAGCTTTTCAAAAAGTGTAATCTAGGTGATAATACAGTAAGTTTTAAATAAAAAACTGTTAAACTGTTTCTAAATCTTTGTTTCGTGATATTTCACAGCGAATCGAGGCCCACAAACATCTATAAGAAGGATATGTTAAAGATACAATTTTATATCCACTTAGCCCATCAGAAAAGCAAACCATGTCAAGAAAGGAAAATAGATGTAGATTAAAACTTATCGACGACTGTACATTCTAGAAGACGTTATTACAGTTGTGACGACTTCGAAAGGTTACATCAGTGTGAAAGAAGTGATCAATAGACGAGCTTTGAAAAACTTTACAGAATTCAAAAAAATTTTTTGTTTAAAATACCTGCGAAGAAATCCGCACATCTTTGCAGAGTGTGAAGTAAATATCCTGCTCTATCTAAAAATAAATTGAATAGATTTTTCATTACTGCTTCAGTTTTCAATAGCACGACAAACAGTATGTTCTTCAAAAAAATCTGCCCTTTCCGGATACCGTTGGGAGACTGTAAATCATAAGAGGTAGAAAATAAATACTGTGTTCTGGTGACTTGTGAATGAGAAACAGAGTTGAAAAGAACTATAAACTGAGACAAAGATGAGAAACCAAACAAAAATCAAACGAAAGAATAAAGTAAAACATAAAAAAAGTAATCTGAATGACAATAAAATGATAATTATTTTAAAAAATTAAAAAAAAAAATAACGTACATTCCTGGCACAGTTTTTTATAAAAATTTTTTACACAGCTATCTTCCGGTATAATATTGCTGTAAAGATACTTCGTTTTTGATAGCTTATGCTAGTTAGGTTCCTGCCTATAGTCTAACGATATATTTCAGGTTTCCTAACCTCGTCTAAATCAGGTTCCAACTCCAACTGCTGCTTAGCTCAGT